CGTCGTGTGCAGTGCCGTGGGCAGCATGTGTCCTATGATAGCCCCCGGGGCTGGCATGTGCTGCATGCAGTGTATGTGCTACATCTGGCACTATGGCCACTGCACAGGGGTAGGTCCTGGTCCAGCCCACAGACTAGTTCAACAATGCTCGTCCACCCCATGAGGCTTAATGAGTTTTCCAACAACTCATGGAGGACAGGGCAGGTCCTTCAGCGGGGATGTTAGTAATGGCTAATGGTTCAAAGATTCCTTCTGCTAGCTCCTTCAATAACCTAGAACAACTTTCATCAGGTTCTGCCAGCTTGAGTACTCCTCTAAGCATCCTTTAGCCTATTCTATCTTTATTTCAACCTGTGCTCCCAGCCTCTTGTTAAGCCCAACTGTGGGCAGTGTCTGGTCACAGTGAACATTTTTTGTAAAGCTTGAAGCACAGAAGGTATCAAATGCATCGGTCTTGTCTGCATCACCATCGATATGCTTCCCTTCTCTGCTAGTAATGTTCCTTTGTCCTCTGATGTACAACACAGAAGCATTTCTCACTGCCTTCCCTATACCTTGCTTGTTGTAACTCATTTTGCACCTTTCAGATTTTATCCCTACATGCTGGTGCTGCTCCTTTGGACTCAGCCTTAGTCATATACCTGTGTTCCGCATGATTCATTTTTGATTTTCAGACTAGTAAGGAACTTCTGATGCACCCATTTTGGTCTCTTACTGCACTTAAGAACATAAGAACTACCAAATACTGTCGGACCATAGGTCCATCTTACCCAGTAGTATCCTGTGTCACAGATGGAAGAGTGTGTGTGCTGAAAGAGAGAGTGAACAGTATGACCACGATTTTTCCCCCCAGTGTTCCTCCCTCCTACGGCCTCCAGCAGTTAAGGCTCTAATTCAGAGGCTGTACCCCTGACTCCCATGCTTAATATAGCTACTGATCCCTTTCCTCTAAGAGTGTGTCCAGTCCATTTTTTAATCTAGCTAAACTGCCAGCTCCCACAACACCCGGTGGCACTGAGGTCCACACTTTAATGACACACTGGGTGAAAAAGAACTTCCTTTTGTTAGTTTTAAGTTTACTACCTCCTAGTTCCATTTTGTGACCCCTAGCTCCTGTATTGGGAGAGATCGTAAATAATAAATCCACCCATTTACTTTCTCTTCACCACTTAGTATTTTGTAAACCGCGATTGTGTCTTGTCTATCCATTCCCACCCCCCCATCAAGCATCTCTTTTCTAAACTTAATAGGCCCAGCCTCTTTAGTCTCTCCTCATATGGAAGCTCCTCCATACTGCTAATCTTCCTTGTCGCCCTGCTCTGGACCTTCTCTAGTTCCTCTAGATCCTTTCTGAGGTGTGAGAACCAAAATGGGGCACAGTATTCAAGGTGTGGATGCACCATGGATTTATAAAGGGGCACGATGATACTTTCTGTTTTGCTTACAGTTTCCTTCTTAATTATCCCTAATATTTTGTTTGTTGTGTTCATGGCTGCTGAGCACTGAGCTGATGTTTTTAGCAAACTGTCCACAATGACTCCTAGATATTTCCTGTGTGGTAACAACTAATGAAGAGCCCATCATCATAGAGCTTCCTCCTCCTCTTCCTCTGGCAGGGGGGTTGTTGTGCCTTTAACAGAGTCTTTCCTGCACAACTTTATCCTTGGTCTCAGTTCCCAGCATGCGGGGGAAGTCTGTTTCTGAAGTCCATGGTCCTCCTTCTGCTGCTCCCGCCCTTCCCACCCTTCCTTGTCTCAGAAGTCTATGATTTCAAGATCACTCTCACCCAAATTAGTTCCCCCCTTTATCATCGTAATTAGACCCTCCCACTTAATCAGAACCAAATTCAAAGTAGGATTCTCCACCACCACCTGCAACAAGACATTGTGCCCAGCACATTCCACATACTGGATGTGCAGCTGGTGTCCTGCTCTATTCAACAGACATCTAGAGAAGTCCACCTACCGCCAGGTCCAGTCCTGACAACTGCCGCATCCATCTCCACCTCCTGGTCCAGGAGCGGACCCTGCCATAGCATGGTCCTGTTCTTCTCCTCTTGTGTCAGCCGCTCAACAAACCTACGTCTCCTGCTTCCTGAACCTTGGGGAAGAGAAACACATTTTGGATACACAGGGGGACATCTTCTCCCTTTCTGCCCTGGCTGTCAGACACCTCTGTACCAATGCTCCAATCCTGCAACAAGCCCCACCGAGCCTCAGTGCTGCCAGCTCACTCATGGCTTGGGTTGCAGATTCTCAGATGCTACAGGCTATATCCTCCCTTATATATCCCCTGTGACTCTAGTCCACCCAAGGGAATTTCATCCCCAAAGCCAGGTCCAGCATTAGCACTAGCACAGCCCAACCCACTGTCAGGGGTTGTCCTGGGGTTCAGGCCACAAACACACAAAGACCTGCTGTGTCTGCCTACAAGAAACCTTTCTCCTCCAGGAACCCAGCCAACAGGTCCCACTGTAGAGGGATGGGCCTCCTTCCATTTCCAAAGTGGATGCAGGGGGTCAGCAGGCAGGTCTGCACTAGCAGGGGTGATGGGAGGGATGTGTGCCCGTGCTGGGCCCCACAGAGCTAAGCAAGGGGGAGGCACTGTCAGCTAGAAGAGCAGGCAGGAGGGAAAGCAGCCAGGCTCCAGGTGCAGGGCCCTGACTGAAGCAGATGCCTTCACCTGGGAGAGCCCAGAGGCCACTTGCCCTGCAGTCAATCTCGAAGGAACTCCCCCCCTCTCCCCACTAGCTTGGAGGTCCCTCCTGCAGCACAGGCACCTGCAGCTTTCTGGGCTGAGGGAGGCTTCACTTTCACAATCCCGCTGCCAGCTCAACACCATCTCCAGACACTGACCTCCTGCCGCACCCCCCCATCCAAACTGGAAAGGCCTCTGGGTGTGGCAGGGTCTCCATGCCCACAAGACACAGCCAGGCTGAGCTCCCAGAACAGCACATCCAGCACCTGGGCTGCCCATCCTCTTACCTGCACTCTGTACTGCCCGGGTGCCAGTCACCACAGCTTGCAGCCCCCCACAGTGGGCCTACCTGAGCTGCGGGGCTCCCTCCTGGCAGCTGCAGGCAATCCCCGAGGCCAACTGAGGTTTCTGGACAGCACAGTGAAAGAGGAACCTGCTCCTTGCCCTGCCAGCCACAATCTGTCCAAGCCCAGGCAGCTCTTTCTGTACCATATCCATCCCCAGGTGGTCCCCAGGAGCAGACAGGAGCAGACACAGCTGAGTGGGTAGCATTATCACCAGGCCTGGGCCCAGTAGGGCTGCTGTCATGCCCTCCCTGCCTGTAGCCAGCTCCAGTGTCCAGAGCCATCACCCTGGGCCCCAGTTGCTTGAGCTGCTGCTGACTCACATCTACTGCAAGACAGAAGACAGTGCTGGGACTGCACTGGCTCATGCCTGTCAGGCTCAGCAGAATGGCTGGCTTACCTGGGACACTGAAAACCAGGGGTCTGTTAGTCTTACAAGCTCACCTGAGACCCCCCATGTGGTTCCCCTTGGCTCAGAGCTGGGGGTGCACAACAGTGCAGGGCCCAGGCCTCATTGAGCTGCAGGTTTCAGTGCCACAGGGTGCCCACAGGGCGGGGGCAGACTAGAAATGTTCTCTCAAGGCCAGGCATAATGCTCCCTGGCTCCATGCTCCTCCCTCCCAGTACAGCTGTGCAGGATACTGTCTAAGCCAGTAAGTATGGGGAGCAACTCCCTACCTGCCAGGAGGGACAGGACTCCCCCACACAGGCAGCGACAGGAAGGAGCAGAGCTGCCAGTATGGGCCTGGGAGAGGGCTGCGTGCATCAGGTGCGGAAGAGGCCCAGCGCACGACTCAGAGACGGTGCCACTGGCAAAGCCTCTTCTGCAGTAATTACTGTGGGGTGAGAAAATTAAAGGGAGAAGCATAGACGCTGGCTCCCCTCTGTGGGGCCATACTCCTAATTGTACCTCTGCTGAGGCTCCAGCAGCCTCGCTCCCCGCTGCTCCGGCCCCACCCACCCCTGCAGCAGGGACCCTCGCCTTCCCTCTGCACCCTGCAGGGGAGTGCAAGGCAGGCAGGGGCAGCTCTCCATGCCAGCAAGTCTGGGGTGGGGGGTGCCCACCCAGCTGTAAGGTGGATGCATCATGAGCATCATCCACTGCTGCAAACACTGCAAAGCTCACCTGCTCCCTGGGCAGTGCTACCAGCCCCCATGAGCCAGCTCCTTGCAATTCCTGGCCAGCAGTTTTCTGCCTGGTAAGTTTGTGGCTACCCTCACCCCACCCTCTCTATGGAATCGTGCCACCCTGAGGAACTGGAGGTAATGGGCCATACTAGGAACTGTACATGCCTTCCATGTGCCCACAGGCACTGTCACTTCACCTGCAAGGCCTGCCCCAGCAGCTTAATGTGCAAGGGGCTCTGTGAGCCAGTGACAGCATCCTGGGTGAATCCATGCGTGCAGGAAAAGGCACACAGGCAGACAGCTGGCCTGACTTCTGCCCACCTCCACCAGTGCTCACAAGAGCCAGAGAAGCACTCCTGGCCTGGGACCTTCAAGGGAACAGCACTGAGAGGGTTAGTGGCAACACATACATCTTTGCATTTGGAGTAGGGGGCTTATGGCTGGGGGGAGGGCGCTCAGTGCACACTGACCTGAGGATGCCTCAGAGCTGAGGGGGCACGGCCTTTCCCAGCTGGGTGCAAGCCTGCCTGGGCCTTCCAGGCCGTCCTCCCTCCTCAGCTGCCACTTGCCCCAGGGATGAAGCACAGGCCAGACATCCAGCATCCTGCTGGCCTGGAAATAAGTGTCCTAAAGCAGGTCTGCTCTCCATGGCAGCAGGAGCTTGCTCTGGGGACCCCGGGGCTGGGAGCCAACAGGATATCTGGGCTGTCCTCTGAGCCCCTCCTCATTTCCAATCTCTGGCACATAGCAAACCACTGGCCCTGCTCCATGTGAACTGCTCCTTTCAGCTCCTTCTTGACCACAGAGCCAAGCAGAAGCCATGTACCAGCACCTGGCCACGGGTCTGGAGAGCAGCCGCCATGAGGGAAGCCACGTGACGTGCTGTCGGCCATGCCTCCCCTGTGCCCACAAGTGCTCAGCTGGCTTCAAAGCCAGTAGAGAGGGAGAGCTGCCTAAAGCCCACACACCCCAACTTCATCCAGCCTGCACATCCTGGCAGACCAGGCTCCAAGCCTACAAGTGCAGTCTGGTTGCACAGGGGCCCTGGGCTGAGCCTGGCAGTTCTTCTCAGCCTTCAGCAGCAGGTCCCAGGTTCTAGGTCCCAGGTTCCTGTCCTGCCTCTCACAAAGTCTCCCCTAAGCCAAGCCGGGAGCCAGGGCAGCATTACCAGCCCCTCCCCTCCCATGTGACCTTCCCCTTCCCTGGTCCCAGCTTGGACAGCAGGCAGTTCCTGGGAGCTGTCCAGCCCTGCCTCATGCCGCACAACCTGCAGTGCCAGCCTCATGCCCCGCTCTGCTTGGTGCAGCCAGCAGCAGCAGGTGGAGGCTGCACAGGACGGGAAGGCAGCCAGTCTAGTGATCCCCAAGCTTGCTGGAGGCCTGGCATGGGAGCAGTGCAGAGCAGACAGTGACTCACGCCAGGCAAGGGAGTGTGGGCAGACGCTGCAGCTGGGACGGCCTGCGCCAGGGATCCCCGCCGTCGGGCAAACACAGACAGGGCTGGCGAGTCAGTGGGCCCCGGGGCTGGAAATGCCCTCCTTAACCCCGCACAGCGCAGGCGGCGCTTGATGGGATCCCAGCCACGGTGTGCCAGCCCCAGCTTGGCTCTGCGAAGAGAAATGGGAGAAAATGCTCCAGCTTCACTGAACCTCCAAGCACAGGGCCCGAATGGGGTGGAGGGATGATACTGGGAAGTTTGTGAGCCAGCACGCACCAGCTCCTGCCCGCAGCCATGTGTGTGTGGGCCATGGACAGTGCCTGATTTGGTTCTTACACTGGGCTCTGCCTTTCTCTAGAAAGATGGCCATCCCCTGTGTTAGCCAAACCCCTGTGTAGCACGCAACTCCTGGTGCCTTGTTGGTCAGGCATATTCAGGCCTGGGCACTGCCTCAGCCTCTCAGCGGGGCCAGAGGTACCCTGCCTGCCCTGGCCTCAAGCTTAAAACCCAGGCCTGGCAAGGGCTCGAAGAGGCAGGGCTGGCCTAGCACAGGGGCAACCTTGCTGCTCAGGGAAGGGCTGTGCTGAGGCTCAGTCTCTTGGGTGCAAGGCAGGTGAGCCCTGCTCTCGTGCCCCAAGCCACAGCCCAGCTATCCAGAAGCCCCAGTATCACGTGCTGCACTCTCCAGAGAGACCTTGGGCTGATGCCCAACCCAGCCCCCACCACACAGAGCGGCACATGCTTCATCCTCCACAAAGCCCCCATCACTGCCTCCCCAAACCCTTGCCCCTTCCAGCTGCCCAGCTCCTGTGGCTGCAGGACATTGGCCATCAGCTCTCAGAGCGGACAGAGACAAGCAGTGATCCCCAGGCTGCCCTCTGGCTTGTCAGCCCTTCACAATGCCCAGGGCCAGGTGTGGGCATGCTGGACATGCAGGCATGGGGCAGAGTAGGCTATGTGTCTGTCTGGGACCTGCTCAAGTCCCTGGCACAGCACCAGCTCTGCCTGGTATTGGGCAAGGCAGCGATTTCCAGGAGGACAGCTTTGCCCACAGCAGGACAGAGCTATGGGGTATGGGGAAAATATTCCATGCTCCAGCCAAGGGCCAGGCCGGGGGGGAGGCCAATGGAAAGGCTGTGTCCACGGGGCTGTGGAGCAGAAGGCAGTGGCCGTGGAAGGAATCAGGGACAAAGCCAGTGACCCACTCTGACCAGGCAGCTCACATATTCCTGTCCAGCTTACGTGACTCTAGGGGAAACAGAGTGCTCCCATGCAGAGGTCAGCGAGTGCAGGAAGTGGGCTGCGCTGCAGCGCTGGGGAGGAGATGGCCTCTTCAAGGAGCGGGGGAATCTCTGCTCTGCCACGGGGGC